TCTGCATTATTATAATATAAAATATATAATTAACCATCATGCATTTGTTAAACTAACTAGCTACAAATAATATAAATTAAACAATGAACTGCACACATGCATATTTTATCAATGACACATCAAAGGTTCATCAAGTTGCTAACCGCGATCGAGGAGTGTGGCTCCAACACTTCATGTCATGTTTGTTTCATGCTCTTGGGGCATTTCATCAAACACCTTATGTGCATAAGAGGAACCAAAAACAAACCTACACCCACTTGTGAAGAGAATGGCTCCAAATGGCTAAGTGTTGGCTGCCGGATGGGTATATATAGGGGAGGGGCTTTAGTTGCGGTTGGTCTGGCCAACCGCGACTAAAGGCCTTTGCGCACCATTAGTCGCGGTTGGCCTGGCAAACCGCGACTAGAGCCCGCGAGCTTTAGTCGCGGTTTGCCAGGACAACCGCGACTAAAGGCCTTTGGGCACCTTTAGTCGCGGTTGGCCTGGCCAACCGCGACTAAAGCCCGCGAGCGCCCTGGGCCCAGGCATTTGGTCGCGGTTCATCTGCCGAACCGCGACTGAAGACTTCATTAGTCGCGGTTCCTACAGTTTCGCGACTAATGAGGCTGGACGGAAGCCTCTTTTTCTACTAGTGGGGCGTGTTGGGTGCTCAAATGTGGTCTGCCGTGCTATCCAAGAGAGCCTGCCTGTTCCCACCAAAGCATGCATGGAGAGAGAGGACAGTTGCCTGTATTCCATGAGCTATGGAAGAGAGTCTTCATACTCTGTTGGCAAGATAGTAACTGATAGACTGACCCTTGGGCCCAATGATGAAGCAGTTATCGCTGGGTTTGTTTTCGGCTGCAGCTTAGGCACCAATTACAACAAGCTTGAAGCCGGAATCATGGGGTTTGGCGCAGAGGCCTTCTCCTTCTTCATGCAAGTGTCCCACTTCGTTGGATACGAGGCTTTCAGCTACTGTTTCTCAAGTGACAGGCAGAAGCAAGGGTATTTGTCAATTGGAAACTATAGCCGCACCAGCTCTTCCTATTCAACACCAATGTTCGTGGCGACGCCCCGGCCGGTGTTTTCTAAACTGCCCAGATCCATGTACTCTTTGCAGCTGAATTCATTGTCCGTCAACGGAATCACCCTGCACTCAGACCCCTACGAGATGACCGTTGACAGTGGGACAGAGATGACCTTGTTGCTGTCGGATACGTTCGATGAGCTAGACAATGCAGTGACCCAAGCCGTGGAGCCTCTTGGGTATATGCGGACCCGTTCTACCATCTGGAGCGACAATCATATTTGCTTCGAGGACAAGGATTTCACACCTTTCAAGAATTGGTCCGCCCTGCCGGTGGTGGAGCTGTTATTTGGATCAGGCGCAAAGCTAAGGGTGCCGCCCCAAAGCGCCTTCTACAATGACGGGGGTCACGGCCTGTGCATGTACTTTGTGCGGGATGCATTTTTTGTCAAGGGCATGCAGATTCTGGGGAACACGGTAACGCAATCGATTGGGATCACGTTCGACATCCAAAGCGAACAATTTGTGTTTCGGGAAGGAGAGTGCTGACAACTTACATGTGAGTGCTGAGTAGTACAAGCTAGTCTTCTTTTTGTGTTACCAACCACTAGTAAAACTCCACTGCTTTATAGTGTTGTTATTAACCGAACTGTACAATTGCTTTGCAGGTCTTCTTCAATCATCAAGCCTTCTCCTTCTGCTCGGTTGCCTCCAGTCAGCAACCTTGGAGGCTTGGCTTCGTCATCAGATGACTAATGTGTCCTTAGCATGCAGGCTCGCTTAGTGGTTTGAGTTGAGTGTCTTAGGTCTAGGTTTTCAGACTCCCAAAGTTGGCGGTGTGTGATGACTGCTGCTTCAACACCAGTGGGCCAACATCATTGTGTGTGTGTGCGCGCGCGCGCGCGCAAATGTGCTTTCCACAGTGGGGGTGATGTCGTACTGAGAGTGTGTATCCAAGAACTGTGGCCAAGTGTATAGGCTCCGTGTGTTGCCGGTTCAGTGAAAAAAGAAAATGGCCTTTGTTCCTTGGATCATAAGTGAGTCTGGTTGCCCTTTTGCCTCTCTCTTGTTTGCATGTGTGTCAATTTTCTTTGCTAAATTAATCCATCATAGGCACACTCCGGCTTAGTACAATAGGCCAACTTAGAGCAACTCCAACGCAGTGACCCAAACGGACAGGGATTTTTCCGTTTTTTTGTTTATTTGGGTCGCCCGTCCGCCTCGCGGAGATGACACGGACACACACGGGCCGTGACTGCTCCCAACACGCAGACACAAAAGCGGACAAGCGCACAGCAGCACCATGGCAAGCAACTCCTCGGCAGCCGCCCTGTCCCCTCTTCCTCAGCGGTGTTGGTGGGAACCTCCTCGCGTCGCTCCTCTGCTCCTCCTCGCCGGCGGGCACCTCCTCGTGCCGCCCCTCTGCTCCTCGTCGCGTCGCCCCTCCGGTCCTCCTCGCCGGCGGGCACCTCCTCGCGCCGCCCCTCTGCTCCCCGCCTCCGCTCCTCGCCGGTGGGCTCCTCCTCGTGCCGCCCCTCTACTCCCCGTCGTGCCGCTCCTCCTCGCCGGCGGGCACCTCTCGCGTCGCCCCTCCGCTCCTCCTTGCCGGCAGGCACCCCCTCGCGCCCTCCGACACCCGTCGCGCTGCCCCTCCGCCGCTCTCGCACCGCCGCAGGATCTTGCCGGTGCCAAAGTCGGGGGCTCCCTCCACCGCGGGCTCCAGCGCTCCATGAGCTCCAGCGCCAGCGCCGGCTGCTCCGCCGCAGGAGGTGGCGGCCTGCGCCGGTGAGCGCCGCGGCGGCCTCACCGATAGCCTCGCTCCTCGTTGCGGTGGAGGTACATGCCCAACTCATGTGCAGTCGCTGAGACGTGGGACCGGGGAGGACACGAGCAGACGAGAGCAGTCGACGGGAGTGACCGCTTCTGTCCACTTCGTACCCATTTGTGGCCAATATTTGGGCCAAGTTTGGGTCAGGACGGACAGCAAGTGGACACGCGCGTCCATTTGGGTTGTCCTGTTGGGCCAAGTTTTATGTCCGGATAATCCAAACGGATAAAATGGGTCGTTGGGTTGGAGTTGCTCTTAGCTAATTTGTGGGAAGCTTCAGTTCCTTCCGTTTTGACATGACAAACATAAAAAAAAAACATCCTTCAACTAGCTCTAGGATTAAAAAAAATATTACAATGGGGAGAATTCTAGATCGCTGATAGTTCATTCTCCGTAACAATGTGAACTCAATGGAGTCTGTTTCCAATATCACGTGATTTATGCTCCTGGTTCTCATCAATTGTGCTCTGTCTCTGCAAGCAAGTGCCTCAGCTGCCAATGCATCAGGAATAAAATACATGCCATTTGCTACTTGCTACAACTATATATATGCCCCTGATCCGAAAGTCCTATTTTGCTCTCGAGCTCAAATGCTCTCTCATGAACAGTAAAATCAAAATAAATAGTAAAAATGTTTAAAAATTCTGAATTCTTTTTGTGCTAAACTATGAAAAATGTTTTCTATGCCTGCAAAATTTCAGCACGAAACAACATTTTTGAAAGGCGTGCCAGAAAAAACAAAATATGCACTCCAAAATATTTTCAAAACTAGCATTTTTGGAACGTCAATTTCTTTTTTTGCCACAACTTCCATGAATGTCATTCCGTGCTGAAATTTTGCAAGCATACAAAACATTTGTCAAGCTTGCCACACACAAAAATCAGAAGTTTTTGAATTTCTTTTACTATTGGTTTCGATTTACTGTTAATAAGGGAGCATTTGAGCTCGGGCGTAGATACTTCATGTCCCCTGATCATCTTTAAGTTACTTTCTAGGGTATTTTCATACATTCAAGATCGACCAATTCTAATCTGTATTCTCCTATTGCACCCAACAAGAAAGCACAACAATCTAATATTTTATTAAAGGTGTATCTTCTAGTCTCCACCTTTAATCCGCGTCGAAATCTGTAAACTTTCCTAGGAGAGATGTACCGAAGCAAAACTCTTACACCAGATGATCCATTCGTTTTTCTGTGTTATGTGATGCATCAACATTACCTGTTTTCTTACCATTATATTTTCATGAAAAAAGTCCATTTTACTACCCTGAATAAAGTGGGTGGTTCACTTTACTCCTGATCTATTTTTCGGCTTCTTCTACCCCAAACAAACCAAAATCGGACAAAACACCCGCCTGGCTAGTTTCTCTCCACCCGTTGATGATGTGGCACTAGTCAATGGCGTTTTTGACATAGGCGGGGCCTCC